TCCCGGCATGCGGGGACGGAGGTGCGGGCGAGCTGCATGGTTGCTGCCACAGMCCCTGTGCAGCCAAGGCTGGGGCTGGGCCCACGGAGACCCAGTAACGTTTACGTGCCATCCTTAACGTCCAGCACCTTCCTGGGGGCTCCAGGGCTTGGGGCCTCTCCTTGGCCGCTGTGACTCTACTCGGGCCGCTTTGGTTACAGCCTGGGCAGCTGGCAGCTGTCTGGGAAGCGTGTGCTCGGCCCCTTGCAAGGCCRTGGTGTCTCACACAGCCACGCTTCCCGATGTGTTTGGTGCTGTCAGCTACAAGTGCCGCTGGCTTTGGGGAGGCCAGCGGTCTCCTCCTATGCACCTATGTTCATGGAGGCCACAAGAGAGCTCCTGAAGATGTGATTCCCTCTTCCCCCTATTATCTTAATATGAGAAGAAATGGGGAAGCAAATTCATGCTTCCAGCGCGGATTTACKCTCCCACAGATGGGGTTTGGTGTGTGGGCTCTCCTTTCTGCCCTCCTGCCTCCCTGCTGCCTGCTCCAGGAGCGCTGCCCTGAGCTTTGCGTGCTCTCCGCTCCCTGCACTCCAAAGGCCGGTCCCCACAGCGGGGGGACCTCCTCTTCTGCACTGAGCAGAAAGTGAGAGTCCTCCTCTTCTGCACTGAGCCTGCAGGGCCCTCTCAGGGCACTTCTCCAGGCTCGGCAAAGTGCATCGTTGGTTACAATGTAAGTGCAGTTATGAGTGTTATTTGGGGCTCCTGTCTTCATTACTCCTTTAGGGAGTTTTTAGAAAGTCAAGTTTTGGGACACGTTGTTTTCAATCCTGGAGATGTGACATCTGCAGATAAGTGGGATTGGTGCTGCTGCGGTCTGGCTTCAGCTCATGTGGCGGAAAAGGCAGAGCTCCCACCTAGCTACTCAAAGCCGGGGCTCTGTTTTAGCTCAGAGATGCTCGTTTGATCAGAGAGGGAAAAAGCTCCCTGTGCGAGGCAGAGCCGGAGAGACGGGGCTTTGTCCGAGAGCCCCAGGCCGGCGCCGCGGGGAGCTGCGGCCGGGGGCTGCGCTGGCCCGCGGCCAAAGCCGGCGCTGCGGGAGGGCTCCAAGGGCCCTGCGCGCCCGGGGCGGGCGAGCTGCGCCGTTTGCCCCCGGCGCTGCTCTCGGTGCCTGTTCTGTGCCCCCCAAGGCACCTGGGGGTGCAGAGCAGCGCGGGGGGCCAAGCAGACGGGCTCTGCTTGGGCAGAGGCCACCCCTGCGGTGCCGTTTCCCCTCCATGCTCTRGGGGAAGGGGGAGCGGAAGATAAGCTTGCCTCTGTGCTAAAGCCCTGGCTGCTTTCGGAGCTTGGAATGCCAGCTAAACAGAGCCCTTTGCCATGYAGGAAAAACAGTTTCATAATTCAAGTGGACCCCTTGTACCGGCACATGTCTGTAAGTGGCCCTGTCATGGCCAGAGGGGTGTGAGGACAGCAACGGAGCGCTTGGCTACAGAGCAGATCCACAGAGCTATTGTAGGAGAAGGGGCATAAGAAAAGAAAAGATGGATTTTGGTGAAAGTGCATTTTCCTTCCCTTTCTTTCTTTTTTTTTATTTTTTTCTTAAGGTAAGTTCTTGGTGTCAGATGTCAGACCGAAAGCCTTAGACTAAGTATTTCTATGCACCAGATAGATATTTGGCGTAAAAGTCTGTTTCCTCCCACGGAGTGTTTTCTGTTCCTGAATGCAGAGGTGGTTGCTGCGGTGCCAGATCCGATGCTTATGCAGGAGCTCTCCAGCCTTGGAACTGGCTGGCGACCAGCACGTGGGCATGGAGTCGGGGGCAGGAGAGCAGAGGAGGGCTGGCCACGGGAGGACACGCTTTGCAAAGGGGTAGGGGAGCAGTTAGGTGGAGCCTGAGCCCACCTGGCTGCTCTCTGGGTGTTTCTGCTGTAACTGCTGCTCAAACGCTCAAATGCCTTCTGTTTTTTCATTCTCTAGGAAGATGGAGCTGCTTTCAACGAGACAATTGTTTGCTTAGGAAAAGCCAAGCAATGCTAATGGAGGCAGAGACGCACATACCGTAAAAGATTCCTGTAACTCAGGGGAAACTGTTTTTGTAATGATAGGGTGAGGACTGACCCTGATAGGGTGAGGTCTGGACCCCTGAAATCAGCTTTATTCCTTGAATGCAGCAGTTGCACTGTGGTAACTAGCCTGTGGTAACTCTTTGAGACTTTTCTACCCACCAGTGTTCTGGGTTATATCACACACCATTGAGAACAAGATTTATAAAACACCAACAAATACAGAACCATTTACAAAGTCGTAATCCATTTACTTACTGTCAGGCACTTGCATCGTGGTTGCAGATTCTTTTCTTCTTCACAGCTTGCTGCTTGTCAGCTTTGCAGCTGGGTATGAAAAGGAGAAAGCCAAAATAATGGCCAATGGAAACTCCCTTCCGCATGCCCAGGTTCTCTTGTCCTCTCTTTTGGGGAAGTGGAATGCTTGCTTCCTGCTTTGTTTCTCCTGAACTGATTTTAGAAAAATTCTTCATTCAAAAGAAGAAAACATTTGTCTCACTTAATATCAAATTTGAACCACGTACAAGAAATAAAACAACGAATAATGCAAATTTCTTGATATCAAAGAGCAGTATGCAGAAGAGTTTTGTGAAGGTACTAATAGCAATCAAGTGATGTGYGGTCATTTTGTCTTTCAGTTGGGTCTGTTAATTTAGGACATCTGAATATTGTCAGACCTAGTTGGTTCTTAGAAGTTCTTAGACATTTCCAAGGATGACATCCTCGGAGTAGATGGTGCTGGTGATATTGGAGCTGTGTCCTCAAACCACATGCAAGTGGTAGCAGCCGTATTTCTGCATCTTGCTAGTGGTCAGAATATAAGTGGGCAAGAATTAGAGAGAGGAAAATATTCTAGCCACATTTAGGGAAGAAACGGTACAAAGAAATATAAGTGGCTCTGTCTGTAAACCTGAATGAAGTGTGGAGACTGTGATCTTTTTTTCCCTCCAAGAAAGGCACTGCTTTTCATAGGGTCAGTCTTGCTTTCTATCATCCTGTTAGTTGGGAACCATTTCATTCCCTGRTTACACTTTGATAGCTGCTGCCCCTGTCTTAGCCCATGTGTATTTATTGGTGCACGAAACTAGTATTCAACTAGTTTTGAACTTCCTTTCTCTTTCCATTCGTGGGCAGTAGGGAGTTTTAGCTTATATATTTACCCTTGCAGGTGTTGGCAAACAGCCCTGGATGTGAAATACTAGTGAGTCCTTGGATTGGATAGTGAAATCAAAACAAACAGGGATTTCTGAGGTGGTCATGACCCTCATTCTCAGTCATCTCAGTTTGTTTATAAGTTTTATCATTCGTGGCAAGTAAATAAGGGAAAAGGCGTCTGTTGAGCCACTTGTAAAGGCTTCACTCCAGGTCACTTGCTATGCTAGACTAGTAACTGGARTCCTCTTTTTATTGTCTTATGCTTAGTTCTTACTAAAGACAATACTTAGGTTTAGCAAGACAAGGTCAGGTTTGACCRAGGCCTTGTTGGTTTTGCCTGAAGGCCCAATTAGCACTGATGAGCATCTTGGAAGAGGTGCTACATGGCTGCAAACTTCTTGGCTGTGCTGGGTGCTGAGGGTCAGGGTGCTCAGGCTTTGGGGTCACAGGTGGCGATGGCAGAGCTGTGAGACGCACGTGCATGCGAGTGTGACCACACTGCTGCTCTCACTGACCCATAGAATATTGACCAGTTTAATTCTTAAATTTAGTCTACAGCAAGCCAAACTTCAAATTTCAGAGTGTGTTTCTGCAACAGAGAGCAAAGCGAAGAGCCAAAATCAATACCGCCTGCAAGAACAGCAAATAAAACAGACTTGGCCTTTCACGGTAATCATGCCCCAGTTGACAAAGACTCCTATATAAGATGGTAGATAATGCCTGATTGTTTGGAAAATCCAGTTACACTTCATTGTASAAATATTTCTGTGCAAAAATGGAATTCTTTGTGTGAATGAGACAAGGAGAAATTACAATGTTTTTCTRGGAACGGCTTCTTATCGATGCAGATTCATGGTCTGCCAAAGGCACAGGGTCTTCTGACACTTCAAGWGAATAGAACAAGAGCTGCAAAGTTTTTGGCTCTTGCTGGGAATGGAATTGGAGTCTCAGGGAAGTAGATCAGGAGATTTGATTTGGGTTCCTTTTGAATATGAAAGACCTGCAAGTTTCCTGGTGAATGCAGCCATACCAGGTGTTGCCAGTGTAGTGCATTCAGGGCAAGAGATAAGGTGGTAATTAGTGCTGACCATCAGGAGCTCCAGCTGTGCAGTTCAGAAGCTGTATATTGGCTCTAGTCTGGATTACCTCTTAAAAAACAAATACATGTATCCACTAGGAATTCAGATTTATACCAAATGCATTAATTGCTTGGCTGGGGGCATGGGTGAACCCTTTGGCTAGAGCACGTTGTATGTTCTGTATGGCTGCAATTGCCATACTTGGTTGCAGAGAATTTGTATCTGAGTTATTTGTTTCTTTTTTTCTTCTCAGCGTCTCAGTGAACATTTAACCCAATATTTCCTGTTCTGCACATGGTGTGACAATAAATGACACCCCATAGCAATGGGGTGTCTGACAATAAACCCTGCAGGATTTTTCACACCTTCTGGCTGGAATGAACTTTCCCATTGACAGTGACTTGCTGTAGTGAGTGTCTCTGGAAAAAATAGGATGCTGTTACAGGACATGGCTACCGTGCTTTTATGTTCTGTTTTCACTGCGAGTTAATCGTGGGCTCTTCTGGTTTAACGYGTGCTTCTGAGAGGACTTCTGTTCCAGCTGCAGCTCTTCAGCTTGAAGCACTGACTGGAACAGGGGCCCGTTAGGCAGGGCTGGTGGCTCCTGCTGCTGCCTGGCACGGGGCCTGGTGCACATACTGGAATTGTTTGGATCAATGCTCTCCTGTTGTTGGCATGACAGAGAGACCAGGAGATAAGTTTTTCCCTTTTATCTCCACAGCACTTCACAGAGTTCCTGGATGAGTTTTCATCAGATGTCCTAGGCCAGCTCTTGAATGATCCTTTCTTATCTGAGAAGAATGAAGTAATGGAAGTGGAATTGTCTCCGGCTTCCCCAGCGCCGCTCATCCAGGCAGAGCACAGCTACTCCCTGTGTGGGGACTCTCGGCCCCAGTCGCCCCTGACCCACATCTCCACCGATGACAACTTCACCGAAGGTAGGAGTGGGATGTGCTAAGTTAATGTTGATTTACTGAGTGCTTTTTGGCTTGTCAGGAAGATGCAGTAATGAAGTGTTACTAGTCAGGTAATGATACACTAAGGATACATGTGAATATCTGTGCTAATAGAAATCCTGTAATTAAATTGCAGAAATTATTTATTTGCACTGTCTACAGGCATAAATAATGAGTCAACTGACAGGAGAATTGCAATCAGCAAAAGATACTAATTTTGCACTATTAATATTTTGAATGAAAAGTAAAATATTCATTAAAAGGGAATAAGAAAAGGTCAAGAAATGTGTTTGTTCTGATGCACTCAAAATCTGTGSTTGTTAAGGTAAGTGGAGATTCATAAACCAGTTAGTCAAAATAGAACCACCATGAAGTTTGCCTACTGGAGCCCATGARTATAACTTCAGGTAGGCTTGGTTTTAAAATCTGTCTTGTGGGGAAAGGGAGTTACAAGAGTGATGGRCAGAGGGATCCAACCTGCTTGCTCCGGTGTGAAGATGCCTGCTGGCAGGATGCGGAGTTCAAGTTAAAAACTAGTGGTTGGTTAAGAGCAAGGCCATGGATAACTGGTAAACTTTAGAAGAAATCCTGTGATTTTCATTCCTCATTATTGGTTTATGTGTTCAAGAATAGATTTAAAGTGAATAACAATAGCATGTTAAGCTGCATCGTATTAAGGGAGAGAGATTAATGCCTATGCCTAAGCATGAGCAAACTAAGGTCTTTGTGAAGATCTACCAGCACATGAGTTTCCAACAGCTGAAGGTTTTGTAATCCAGAATACACTCTTGAAACAAGATGGAGCATGTTAGAGGTTTCAGAAGCCTCATTTTTGTCACTAGGGACATCTAATAAAACCTGAAAGGGGGCTTTTCAGGGTTTTGGAAATGAACTGGAAATATCATCTACAACAAGCCTTCCCTTTTTTATTTATGTTTCCAAGATGCTTTATGTATCTTTAAATTAGCACATATAGGTGATAGAAACGGTATTGTGGGAGGAGGAGAAGCAGCAGAAACTTCAGCCAGAAAGCTTCCTGGCCTTCTCACATCGTGGAAGTTAACAGAGGAAACTTCCAAACTAGTCTAAAAGTGAAGGAGCCTCCTTTGGGGAAAAATCCTGAAGAAATTCGTAGCACCGAGGCTGCTGGGTCTAGTCAAATACAGCTCTAGTCCAGTGGCGTTTCTAAAAGCCAAGAAACAGTTACAAGTAGGTTTAAAAATAGGAAACAAATGGAAAGCATTTAATCTCAGGTCATTCTACAGAATGTCTCAGAGGAGGAGAAGGAGTTGTTCTAGTGTTTGGCACTCCTGTTTATTTAATCTTAACACTGAGATCACTCTTGTGCCCTTTAGATACCTTTTGGCCTCAAAACACCGAAGCTCAGAGAGGGAAGTACTTGTGGAGATCAGTCTTGCACTTACTTTGAATACCTGATATCTATTCATCACCATCCTTAGGATTTTCCAGTTCTTGAGCCCCTGGGAGAGGGAGTCCGTGCCAGGGTTGGAGGAGAGCTCCCGAGATCTCCCATGATCAGAGAAAGGAGTTGCAGGGTTTGGGGGGAGACTGGACCTCCCCTGTGTGCTGAGGGGAAGGCTCCTGCACGGGCCCTGTATGAAGCCTCGCGCCCCACGTCACCACGGGCAGGAAGGGAAAGGGCACGGACGGGCAATGGGGCTTGGGTGCAATGAAAAGGCAGCTGCTGGGGTCCTTAGGAGAGCCCTCACTAGACTCAGTAACGTGCTCCTTTTAGCAGAGGTGGCTTTTGAAGTGAAGCGCACCACTGATGTAAATTTAGATGTAAAACAGCTTTCCATGTAATTTTTATCTGGTTGCTTTTAATTGGGCGTGTTTTAATTATGTAACGTTAATGTGCTGCTCTGCATTGGGTCGCCGTTCCTGCCGGGAGAGTGGGCCGGTGCCTGCCGAGTCCTGAGCCGGAGGCCCCCGGCTCCCAGTGAGTCACAGCCGGTGAATCATGAGGCTCCAGGTTGCTCTTGGAGCGCAGGACACCTACATAAAAGACATCCTGGGGCCTGGCACACCGATGAGGATAAGAAGCAGAGAGAAAGGGGKCCGCTCCATGCAGGTCCTGTTTCCTAAAGGGCCCCGTAGCCTCCCTGCTTTAAAAACAGCCCTCCAACCTGCAGTGCGTTTCCACAGCCACAGGTCGGCCCTCAGTGTCTCACAGGGTGGCAGCGGGTGCAGGCGGAGGGCCGGCAGGACGAGGACCTTGTGCGTGTCCTGGTTGGAGGCAGCGGGCACCGCGCGTCTGTGGGATGCCAGGGTTGTTCTGGGAGCCCACGTGCCACCCTGGAGCTTCTCGGCTGTCCTGCTCGGAGCGGGATCCCCGCTGGATGCGGGTCCCGATAACCTGGGGCTTGGCAGAGTCGCCGCAGCCTCCGGCCTCGCGCCCGCACCTCGAGTCTCGCTGTGCTTGGCCAAGTGACCTCGCTGYGCGCAGCTCCCTCGCCACCTCCTCCCTGGCCTCTGAAATCGGCACGTGCCACTTCTAGGGGAAAAAAAATCACGTTTCAGAAACGCCTGCTGGTWAAATAGCACCCAGCTTCTGTAACGGGTTTCACCTCTGGAGTTCCAAACTAACGGCAGAATTGGGATCCTAGAGGCCCAGGTTACAAYGCAGTTGAGCAAAAGGCTATTTTTGTTTGGTGAATGATTTTCAAAACAGGTTTAAGCAACTGCATATCATTTTTTTGATGACCTCAGCCAGTACTCCGAGAACCTCACTGACAATATTTTGTAATGTTTCCTTTCAGCCATTGTGGTTGAATGAATTATTCCTCTGCTCAGGACGAGCGCCCTCACCCTCTCTTCCAGGGCACCAGTTAACTGCTGCCATGAGCCCAGCCTGTTGGCCCAGTAACGTAACCATTGGGTTGTTGGGTTTTCCTACAGTCATTCAACTGACCTATTAATATAATCAAAAACCTCATTAAAGGAGGCAARAAGTGCTAGGAGCGCCAAGTCTGGCCAGCACAATCCTGTGTTTAACTCTTTTGAGCCATCCCGCCGACCTCAGGGGTTTATGTGGTAAACCCACAGAGCCATGTGTTGTAAGATCAAGGTCCTAACGCTGTTCTTATTCTAGGTGTTCATTCTTCTGACTTCACTCTAGTAAGGGAACTTTTTGAGCTTTATRGAGAAGACCTTTTCTGTATATTCACAGGTTAATTCACAGGTTGGAAGAACTTCTTTACTGTGAGGGTGACAGAGCAGTGGMACAGGCTGCCCAGGGAGGCTGTGGAGTCTCCTTCTCTGGAGGTCTTCAAAACCCGCCTGGATGCCRCCCTGTGCCACATGCTGTAGGTGTSCCTGCTGGAGCAGGGGGGTTGGACTAGATGATCTCTAGAGGTCCCTTCCAACCTTGAATATTCTGTAATTCTGTAATACTAAAATATGTGTTTGTTGAAGGTGCCAGTGCCTAAMGCTCTAGCTTATGAAAGCAGTGACTAGCACAGCTATTTTAAAGCAAATGTGTGGAAAACATCTGGTATCTAGCTTTTTTTTTTTCTCTCCTGAGAATCCATTCTTATATTTGACTTTGCATAAAATTGTAAGACTAAAGCTACTTTGGAGAGCTGTTTGTAGCTCTGACCTGCGTGCTTATGGCTTGCTGACCACGTGCTTGTGTGCAACCAAGCTGGCAAATGAAAGGGAGGCTGTAACGACGAAAGGAGGCAGTGTCCTGGGTGCTGGTGAGCTGCAGCAACCTTGGGTTTTGGGAGACAACTGCAGAGCAGCTGTGCACAAGAGCTGTGGGTAGCTGTGAAGTGGAAGGTGCTTCTGAGATGCAGGTAAAAATGCTGGGAAGAGAGGTGGAGAATAGAGATGCTGGGTTTGGGGGAAGTCTTGCTGCAGATCAGTCTTTCAGAGCACAGATTTCCTTCTGACAAATAAAGAGTTAGGGGCAAATCCTTTAGTTTCCATCACAGTTGGCCCTTTATTTTTCTTCCATCTTCCTGTCTCTGCGGAAGGAGGAGAGGACMGGGGGGCTGTGGGCCAGGCAGCCAGGGCCATGTGGGCTGTGGGTTTCACATGGTGCTCTGATTCAAAGATCCCTGCATGACTTGGGATGCCAGTGTGGGAGCCTCCCTGCCCTCCCATTCTTTGCCTTGTCTGTGGGGAGCACAATCTCGTCAGGACAGAGACTGCCCCGTTTTGGGCATGTGCGAGGTCTGTAGGTGCAAGAAGCACGAAGGGGCTGGCGCGCAGCAGCAACGCGGGCCACAGGCTGCAGCATCCGTGTGAGGATTCTGGTCCTCTGGGACCAGCTAAATGGGCATGTTTGGTTTTTGTGAGCTAAAACACGGGTGAGACGGCGCGCAGGCAGCCAGTCATTGCTGGGACCTGTCAAGTTGTGCCCAGGTGCCGGGGAGCGCTCGCTTCCCGGTCGCCTGCGGCCTGCGTGTTGGAGACGAGTCTTGGTCCCCACCTGCCTTCCTCTTCATGCTTTGGTGCTCGGGAATGCTTTGAAGTTACTCTTGGATTTGAAGCAGCTTGCCTTGGCTAGAGGCTCGACAGTGGTTGCTGCAGAATTGCTGTTTCTATTTTATGCTGAGCTGTGCCAAAGCTGGAGCCGGCCCCAGAGTATAACTTGTGTTTTTGTTTTGCTTCGTTTTACCCTCTAATTCCTGAGGTTATGTTATCCTATAACATGCTTTTAAAATCTAAGTTTCCTTTTAAGCTTCAGCTCTGTTTCTCTACATGGTTTGGAAAAAAGAAAAATCACTGTRTATGGATCCGATTTCTCCAGTGCAAGCAGCCCTTCAGCAACTAATCCAGCCCTCCTGCCAGACAGAGCTCTGGGCAGGGAAATGTTTGCTTATATATGGAGTCTGCGTGCAGGGATGTGTCGTGTAGGGTCTTCCAGTGTAGAGGGGCCTATAGGTTCAAGGCTCAGGGTGATCCATATATATCTTCCATCTGTGTGTGTGTGTGTGTGTGTGTGTGTGTGTGTA